TTAAGAAACTTCACATTCATTGCTTAGTACTGTTGGTTCCCGGAAACGGAAACGAGAGTTTGTCAATAAGCTTATAGCTTCCTATACAATTGAACTAAGATAAAGTTTGTATAAACTAAACATTTGAGCCGCGTCACGACAAAACCAACATAATGGGTTTTCGACCAGCATGGATCCAGACCAGCCTGCGCATCTGCGCAGTCTGATCAAGATCGATGCTGTTCGCTTACAAACCCTATAACAAGTAGAGAAACTGATAGCGAACAGCATGGATCCTGATCAGGCTGGTCTGGTCTGGTTCCATGCTGGTCGCAAACTCATTATGTTGGTTTTGTCGTGACGCGGCTCAAATTTTCACTTATAGCAATGTGAGAAAGGATGGTGACGTATATTTCAACACTGGTGACATGATGGTCAAAGACAAAGACTATAATATATATTTCAACGACAGGATCGGGGACACCTTTAGGTTGGTAAACTCGCCCTCCTCTTTCTGTCCCGCACACTCCCTTTTCCCCCGCAGTCCTCAGTTGCAAGTTACACAGCCGCAGACTTGATAATAAACTACAGAATTTTCTTCTTGTTATTTAAAGACTAGTTGACCTGCGGAAAATTCTTTGACATATTGAATTTAAGAAGTTTAGTTTGTATAATCTTGAACTCTTAAAATTGAAATCATGAATTCATAAGGTTAAAATCGTAAATTCATGACGTGTTTGTATTTTGATATATTCTTTTTTTACGTTTTTTTTAATCATTTTGAGAAATGCTTTAGAAAGCACAAGTGATATCTATACACCAATAAATAAAGATATTTTATATCTTTCAGGTGGAAAGGTGAAAATATTTCTACTACAGAAGTTAGCAATGTCCTCACTGATATAGATTTTGTCGTAGACGCTTGTGTGTATGGTGTCCCCATTCCAGGTGAACAACTAATTGTTTTGTTTCTATAGATGTTGAGTTGGGCCCTGAGTCTTAGAAAACAGTCTTGAAAAATACCCAATATGTGCTTTTGAAAACTTGGCTTGTCTTAGTGATAAAGTTAAAATGTTACAGAAATAGTGAAATAATTGTATTTATTTATTTATTTATTTATTTATTTATTTATTTATTTATTTTATTTCCTATACTTCCGTACATCGCACCCTTGGCATCACTCATAAAGATGCCTCTAGCCTTATGATATTTTCGAAGAGTGAAACTAATATAGTGTTGGAGCACCACACTAAATACCGTATTTCTGTATATACTGGACAAAGCAAGGAGCTTGGATGATAAACTGCTAAAATCTCGCTTAAAAATTCAGCACAACGAAATGTACTGTAAGACGACGAATGAATCTCTTCACATACGATTATGAATGAAAAATATAAGAATTCGCAAAAAAAAACGATAGTTTTCTACTTCATGATCATGATTTCTACGAGCGTCTAGTGGTACTGCTCCAACACTGTAACTAGTTAAATCCATTTTTGAACGGGTCCCCATCTCAACTATAACTGAAAAATCGATGCATCTAAAATTTCGTTACAAGTAGTTTTTTGTTGTTTTGTTTTTTGTATTTATTCATGTTTGCCATCATATTTTATTTAGGACATGACGGAAAAGCTGGTATGGCAACGCTTCTAATAAAACCGGAAGTCACTGATATTTCTGACAAAGAACTGTCTGTCATTTCAACTCACTGTCAACATTCACTTCCGGTCTATGCCATTCCAATGTTTCTGCGCTTGAAATGGGGAGAGCTGGATATGACGTCAACGATAAAACAGTCGAAGGTGAAATTGAAGGAAGAAGGCTTCGATTATTGGACAGTTGGAGACCCATTGTTTTATTACGAGAAATCCACAAAAACTTTCAAAAATATCACAAAAGAAACGTTTGAAGATATCAATAACCAATCAATCCTGTTCTGAAATACCGAATTGTTTAAAGGCACATTATGTCTCAGAATTCCATTTTTTTTTAATTCTTAAGAAATGTCAATCATGTGTTTTCTAATATTTTAATAATGGATTTAGAGCATGTTAGATGCAGTGTGTGTCGTAAAGTTAGAAAAGTATAAACAAAGTAGTATTTTGATTTCCAAATAAAATGTTAGTTTACAATAATTATGCTTATTGACAACATAGCCACAGAGCAAAAATAATTCATCTATATAGGAACGAATAAAGTTTATGAAAACTGTAACAAGATACCAAAAATAAAAAAGGTTTTGAGAAATAAAAATGATAGTATTTCTGAGGCACAATGGGTCTTTAATAATTTAATGAATTAAGGATTTTATAATTATTCAAAGTATACCTACTTAGAATGCATTTTCAAAAAATGCATTGCCGAATAGATATTTCAAAACTGTTTATATAAATGCATATTGTATTTTTTTTTCAACAGTTAAGAATTTAAATTAAAACATACAAATTACAACATACAAATAATCTCGATCTGAAAACTTGTTTTAAAATTATCTTTTTGGACGCATATATTATGATCCTAAATAAATTATCATATAGGCCTAATCGATGAAAATTAACACAGTTTATACAATTTAACACTGTTATAGCCTGTCATATCTACTGAACATGTATACACGTTTAGCACCATGCACCTATACCAGGTTGCTTTGCTCCAAATAGGTGTCCAAGTTCCGGTGCTCTTATCATGAAGTTATGCCTGAATTTAATATTATCTTATTAACATGGCGATTTTTATTGCTTTGACATCATTTCTATCCATATTGCAGTTTGTTATGTATTTTTATGTTATACATGTTGTACAAATTTTATACATGATATCTGAATCTTATAAAACACAAAAACAAAATGACATGAGTCTTTATGGGAAGACAAATATATATACATATGTTTACAAATGTATACATGTAATTTTGCAAATTCATTTTAATTTTAGTTTAGCATGATATAATGTATATTTTTGTAATTAGGCCTGTATCAATAAAATTCGTATATTTACAGTGTTCGTGTATGATACATAACTATATAAATATATTTTTTACAAAATAAAAAAAATGAATTAAAGAGAAAAAGAGAAACCGGCTTTATATTTGAAAGAGTTACTCCCCTTTTCAGTTCTTGCGCCATTTACACTAAATGATAACAAATGTAAGTGGATTATTTGTCTTGCCGTTAGATTAGTCCTATAAATATGACGTCGCTTTGAGATATTTTTGCTTCTGGGCAAAGCAACGTCATATCGAAATTGCTCAAAAACCCATAGCATGTTCCGCCAGAAAATCGGGCGGAACGAAAAACAATGAAGACAGCGTGTATTTACATATTTTTTGAACTATTTATGAACAAAACTAAAAAATATATACCTTTTGTCAAAATAATTAAACTGTCACATCCGAAAAATCATGATTAAATCCTCTCATGTATTTCAATTCCTTTTACAGCCGATAAACAAATGGCGGCCGTAAAGTGCGCGAAATCTGATTGGCTAATTCAAATGCAAGCGTTTAACTGAGTCAGAACAATCTAACGGAATATTTTTTTAACGAAATAATTGCCCATGCACCGTCAGTGTGTTCGAATATATTTTTCCGTTCAAAAATTTGGAATCAATCTGTAAAGCACCTTGCTTAACCAGTATGGCTGATAGACAAAAATAGATTGATGTTTATATTTTATTTTAAATCGATAAGTACATCGTTTGACAGTTTTTGTGTATGATTGAGCATGAAATTGAAAGAAAATATGATAATCTTTTGAATAAAGCTTGCAAGGCAGGACAATAGACATTTTTGGATTTTTTTATGATGCTATGCGTTTTTGAGCAATAACTATTAGACGTCAGGCTTGACCGACAAAAACTATAACAAGCCTGTAACGTCTAATATATTGGACTAGCCGTTAGATTAAACCTATAGACAGAAATGCATGGAAAGTCTGTATTTTCTGAAAGACTTAATGTGGAACTTGTTTGATAAGGAAGGAACTTATTAACACATAATTCATCACAGGTATTCGGCGTGTGTCAGTCTGTATCTGTTGACCCCTCCCTCCCCCACCACCATCTACATTATACTGCTTAAAAATCGTTAACAATTACACTAAGCTGGTGCGTTGTCTGGGAATAGCTGTTAAAAACAATTGTGTTAAGTGCAAATGACACTGACTACAGCCATTTTATGTTTACAACAGTACAATTAAAGTATTCATTGAATGGATAAATGATTGATTCAAGAAAAATATTTAGTTAATGCGGACTTTAAAAATTTACAACTTGGATCCATTTCACAGAAATTCTTTCCAAGGCTAGTACTGTCAAACTGTTAGAATGAAAGGCATATAGTACAGGTATAGGTGCTGAATGGTAGAGGATATTGAGTTTAAGTTCAATACAGATTTAAAAAATAAGTTGACTATAATTATATTATCCAAGCCTTTCGAGGGCTTAATTTAATATAATTTTAATCCACAGAGTTCAATAAATTCGGTAATGAACCTACACAAATATATAATATTCTATTTATCATATACCCAAAATAGATACTGTTTAAAGTCAAAGAGAATCATTTTTTAATTGAGGAGCCTAGCTGTAGTGTCACACTTTTTTAGGTGTGTCTGTCAGCCGTGTCCTTACACTTATAATGTTTGTATAACACAAATAATAAATGTCAAGGCAAAATATATGCCATGCAATACCACAGAGTCACAAAAGAGACAAAGGTATGTGACCAAGTATGTAAGTATTATTCTTTATATAAAATTATATAAAGTGTGATATACCCTTTCACCACTAATTTATCTTTGATTGGATTGGGTAAACAGTCAATCATTTTTTAAGGGAATATAAACATCAAAAAGATATTAGGCAGTGTCAAGTTTTACCAGGTTGGATAGATACACAGACTGGTATTGCTCTCTCTATATATATGCACAATTTCTCAAATTTTCCGAAATGCCTAAGATAATTTTCACAATTGAAATAACATTAGAGTGCTAAAATAGCTCAAAAAAATTCCAACACAATATAACATAGATTTGCTTTGGATTCTTTTATTTCTGCCAAACACTGTATTAAATTTTAACATTTCAAATAATGATTATTAAAGTTGCATGCCTCCAGATTCATGCATATGTTCAAGAATATTTTATAAATGTATTCAGAAGCTAAATATTGTGCAGTGAACAAAGAAAGTAAATAACACATTGCAAAAGACACTTAAAGTCCATATTAATAACCAAAATAATATTAAGATATGCAAAATAGCCCTTACTGCATTTATTTTAGTCATGAAGTAGAAATATGGTGATAAATACTGATAATTAATCGCACATTACAATGATTACATGTTAAATTATTATTACTTGAATTTTTTACTTTTCTTAAAATCTTAGTACATTTTTTCTAAAGATTGGTTTTCTTGAAATATTGTGGCTCATCTGGAGGCATGCAGCTTAAAGATCACCCTTGAATCTGCAATTTTAATTATGTTTCAGATGTGGAGGGAAGTGCTATGGTTGATCCCAGCTGCCTTTGCCACAGCCTACATAGGAATCAAGCTGAGTTGTTCATGGCTTATTCTAGACATACATTATATATCGAAAGTAGTCCCTTGTCTTGTTGGCTTTAAGAAAGCCTGTAGGAAGAAATATTTTATAATTGACCATTTTGAAAACTCAGTTAAACGATGTCCCGATCGAATTTTCTTGTCATACGAGGATCAAACCTTTACATATCAGGTAAGTTGTTGATGATTTGGGTTCATCCTTTAGTGTTTAAACTTAAAACAAAATTTATGACTAAATTTTCCTTATATTGATATTAGAGCTGTCAACTAAAGAAACAATATCTATGTATGTTGATATTTTTCTGCTGATCAATAATTAATAAACATTTTAAAAAATCGATAATTTTGACTAATTAATGTAATGTCTAGAAATTATGAAAATTCATCCAAAACATATAGAAAAGCAGGTGTCCATGTCTTAACACTATGCTGTTGTTACATATACTATAAATGCTGAAATAGTTCATAGCAATGGTGACAAAAAATGGTCAATGGGTATTTATAAACAAGACACTGAACAGAACATATATTTTACTGAAATCATTTAAACAGGTATGAAAGTGAATGACAGACAAATAATTATAGGTAATTATCGATATATATTGGTGTATCGTTGAAATTTGTCATTTGCTATCCATATAAATCATTGATATGCTTTGCACTGAATCAATGACAGCTCTAATATAACTTTATATAAGGCACTTTTATGTACTGTTATCTTCAAATATAGATTAACTGGACAAGTATTTGGAATATAATGATGTAAACAATAATAGATTCAATAGTAAGAATACAATTGAGAAGATTCTAGAAGAATAAAGTAGGTATTCAAAGTATTCAAATGTTCATCATTCATGACTTTTAGAACATAATTATTTTTGCTAGGAGTCTGGCTTCATTTTTATCACATTGATTTTTTGTGTATCATGTTTAAAAAGAGTCTAAATATACTAAATGGAAAAAAAATAAGACACTGACAGTCTCTGACTTGTATTTTCAGGAAGCAAACAAGCAAGCTTATATAATTGCAAGAAAATTGATGGGATTAGGACTTAAGAAGGGTGATACTATTGCATTTTTACAGTATAATGGACCAGACTTTATATGGATGATTTTAGGTAAGGTTACACTGATGAATTGATAATTTTCCATACTTTTAGATACTAAGAAAGGACAAACATTATCTTTTAATATAATGTTAAATAATGATTTTAGAGTATTTTAGATGCTTAATACCTGAAGTAAGTAGCACTGAATGTGAAATTATCTGTTCTAAAAATAATACATAATCATAACCAACCTCTATACCAAATATGAAGATTGTTTACCAACGCATTCTAAAGAAATTGAGCGAACAAGCTTTTTGAAGTCAAGGCCCCTGTGGCCATTGACCCTGTGACCTCTAAAGCAATAGGGATCCTAATGGTCATGACCGAAAAAAAAAAGTCATTGTAATGTTCTCTTAACATCTGTAATTTCAAGATTTTACCAATAATTAAAAATCAATCCCATGCATGTTACTTCCTAAGCTATTTATTCATTTATTTATTTATTTATTTATTCATTATACAAATCTAATTAAATTGTTTGACAGTCAATGAATGTTTAAACTTGTATGTTCTAATGTATTCAACAGTTAAATCTTTAAAATTAAAGAAGTTTTTAATGAAATGAATCAAAAAGATATATTTATTTTTCAGGCTGTTTGAAGGCAGGTATATGTGTATCACTTATCAACACAAATTTACGCGGGAAGGCACTCTTACACTGTCTGAATGTATCTGGAACCAACACCATTGTTACAGGAAGTGGTAATTTAATAGTTCTAAAATTACACCAACATGATAAAGCTGTTTATCATTTTGGAAAAGTATAATTCCAAATGCTTGTAATAAAGAAATATGTTTGAATTTTAATTTATAATATGAGTAAATGACCCATGTATTAAATCATTGTTAAAAGGGAAAAGTGGCAGTGTGGTCAAGTGGTTAACACGTTTGACTAGTAATCTAAGGATTGCTGGCTGCATGGGTTCAAACCCCGTCAGGGACAAACCATTGTTTCCTTGAGCAAGAAACTTTGCATTTATTGCTTTACATTCAGTACCAGTTGGTTCCAGGAACGGATTCAAGAGTGTTTCAAAAAGCTTATAGCTTCCAACACAATGGTGAACCAAACTAAAATAAATTTGTATAAACTAAACTAACAGAAAATATCATATATATAGTAGCAGTATATTATGTTGTTCTGGAACATTTTATTTTATTTACATGCAATATTAATGCGTGTTACTCAACAAAAATAGTCTATGTTTTACAACTGTTCTAAGAC